GTATGGTGCCCACCTTGGACTCTCTCTCCTAAAATTCTACCTCTTGTACTGCTTTCCTAAACTGATGCTCACTAATATCCTCTTCCATGTAATTTCCTTTAGCTGGGGCCGATGCTCCACCTCCGGCAATCTCTCAAGGTAGACATGCTGAACTTCACAAATCTTATCTGCAATATGGATCTACCACCTCTCTCTAATTTACAAAAAGACCCTCTATTTTATCATAAAAACAAAGAGGGGCAGAGTCACTCTCCACCATTTTAAAAGCATTCAGTTACCTTGGAGTTTGGTGTAATATTTCAGCAGTGCTTTAGGCATGTGGTTCATAAAGCACTTAGGGACCCATTAAAGAGCAAAATTTAAGGCTAAAGGCTGGCAAGCTGAGGGCAGTGAGCTTTTAAATTTATGAAAGGCTACAGAACTAAGAGGCCACTAAAGTGATAGCTGTCAGCACCACTCCATCCTACATTCATGCAGGTTCAAAGGAGAAGCCAGCATGCACTCAAAAGAAAGAGAGCACTCGTTCCAACTTCCAGGCTATTTTCTAAATACTCTTTTCAAACTCCTTTTATACTCAGAAAAAGCCTTCCAGAAAACATCCACCCCTCGGCAAGCCTTGTATTGGTTACCTGATCCACTTTTGCGCTCCTTTTTCTTCCTCCCAACTCTAACAAGCATCCTTGCCCTTTTACAAGTTAAGGTCATTCAGAGGATCTATACAAGGAAGCAGAACACAAGCTGGACTGAAGATCTTGAAAGGCTCATGCTTACCCTCACCTTTAATAGGGAGGCACCACCCACAGAGACAACACATTATCCCGGCATGCACCGCTCCCTCCTGATCCAAATGGAAAGCAGCACAAATCAAAAGGACCACAGCAAGTTGGAACCTGTTGTCTCAGCAGGTGGTACCCTGCATCTGTAATAGAGATGAAGGCAGCTGTAATCTCTCTGGTTTTATGCAAATGGATACTGCACTTCGGCTCCTGGCTAGGGGCCAGGGAAGAAAACAAAACCAAAGAACCCCAAACCCCACCACCCTTGTCAGTATGAAGCTGATGTAGTAAACATCAAAACACAGTTGGCATGTCACTTTGTGGGATGTGGGAAGACCACAAATAAAAATCTTATCTCAATCTATCCATAATTTAAGCCTTACTTTCTATTTCAGCTCTGAATTACAACCCTGCAATTTTAATACAAATAAGACTATTCAAGGTGTTCAAGAATTCTATAGCATCATGGTTTTCACTTTCCATGCACGCACTTCTTTAAAGTGTTAAGAAAAAAAATGAGCACTCGAACTACAGAACAGTTAAGTGGAGATTCATACCTTGGCCTTAGAGCAAACTGAAGTCAGAACCCAGTCTGGGAAAAACATAGTTTTCTTCTTAGTCCCTGAACAGCTCTGCAAACCTGTGCCAGCACAATCTGGGGCTGGCAAACACTGTGGCACCACTGTCATCCGGTCCAACCTTCCTGTTCATGCAGGGTAATCCCAGAGCACAGGATTTTGTCCAGACAGTTCTTCAGTATCTCCACAGCCTCTCTTGACAATCTGTTCTATTGCATGGTCACCCACACAGTAATTAGGTTCTTCCTCATCTTCAGGTAGAATTTCCTATGCATCAGGTTCTGCCCATTGCCTCCTGGGTCAGAGATTCCTGAGGGTTGCTGCAAAGGCAGCACTCAGCTGAAGCTGGCATTCCACTGATGGAGTCTGAGTCCAACTACACCTGCTGATGCTGCCTTCCTTGTGCACCGTTCTCCACCAAGGAAGAAGTCACCACAACGTTTGTAAACTGCAGGAATGATCTGTGAGTCTGAGTCCAACTACACCTGCTGATGCTGCCTTCCTTGTGCACCTGTTCTCCACCAAGGAAGAAGTCACCATAATGTTTGCAAACTGCAGGAATGATCTGCCCCTCGACCTTACTGATGGCTGGCATCAGAGCACGAACCTGCAACTGCCAGCTGAGGCACTGGCTTTGTGCAGACACACAGGGACACATTCCTTGCTGCTGGCATTGCTGTGGGCAGTGGCTGCCAGCAAGGGGTGGAGAAGAGTGCAGGACTCAGCATCTCCTCTTCCACAACTGCACTGGCCACATGCTTCCTGCCAGCAGGCTGCACACACTCACCACTGCAGTGCAGAATCTCTTCAGAATGCAAGAACAGCCTGAAAAAAAGGCCCTACTTTAACCCTGCTGAATAGATTCAAGAAGTCACACATTTGTTTTGATTAGAAAGAAGATAGAAAAAGCTAAAAATGGTGTATAACTTGCAAAAACACCCTGGAAGGATTTCTGCTGCCACTCAAGTTGTGCAACATGCTCAACTGGAGAGACTTATTTCCATGCAAGCAGCTTGGCATGAAATCCCACTGAAAGGCCTGTGGTTCCCTAACACTGTCATGACATCATGATTTAGGATTTTTAGAGCTATCAGCCCAGCACAGCTGGTGTCATGGTTGCCATTATACCATGAAACACTAAGGGGTTTTAAATGAAAAAGGTTTCCTTGTTTGAAATTCTTAGATTTCTTCAATTTTCTTCTACAGATTCCTAAAACCAGACTGGCTCTGTAAGCAGAGTCTAGCTGATACGTAAGCAGAGCAGGAAACAGTGCTGCTTTAACTGAAAATAAATCTGTCAACAAGGAGGCACCGGGAGAGCTCTACTTCATACTTTTCAGGTTCTTATTAAAAAATATAAATTAAAGTCAACATTTTCACATTATTTGCTACATCTGTTTGCTATTCCATTATAAATAAAAATACAGGGCCTCCAATTCAGTGTTAGTTCACTCAAAAAAATGAAAAAGTCCTTTTCATTTAGTACTGCATTATAATTGTCCTAGACTCTACTCTATTACCATGAGAGGTCCACAAGAAGTAAGCTACACGTTACCCAAACCAGGCAATTAACAAGACCTTTGTCAATGTCCTATCTTTCCCTTTCTAAAGTAGGAAGGACAGCAAGGCTGTAGAAGCACATCCCTGTTGTAGGAACCTTGCTGACTGTCACAAGCAGATCCAGCTCTGCACTCTTTGTAGACAGCTGGGAAACAAAAAAAATACAAACCCTTTCCTATCTCCAGAGGTCAGGGCAATTGACCAGAGTGCCACACTGGTTTTAAATGAAATACACCAAAGATTTAAACAACAGCCCTGCAACCCCATGCTCCTGCCAACCATTCTACAGCACACCTCACCTGGGACAGCAGAATTCCAAAGCCTTTCAAGAAGAGAGACATATTTTCTTAAATAAAGCATTTTTAAATTCCCTGTCAGAGAACAAGAACCTCCTGAGTGCATAGGAAAATCCACCACATTCCTACAGTGTGCACCCAGGGCTGGGTTGGTGACGTGCAATTCCAACAGCCATCAAATTTCCAAAGCAGTTTTAGCAAACAGCAATTGCTCTTGGAAGTGAGAACTGTTGGTGAGTGCTCAGCTCCTTTGAAAATCTTCTCTCATCCAGTCTACAGTGCTCACATACTACCTGGTAACTTCAGTGTTTAGGAGATGTGTAGGTATTGACAGTTCTATCACATGCATAATTGTATATTAAGACTTTTGGTCACAAGATAGAACCAATCTACTCAACAGGACAAATACTATTAAGCTTTGTAGCTCCAAGAATGAGGCCAAATTAAAGGTGACAGACTGCAGACAGCTGAACATCTCAGGGCAAGTGACACAAGGACACAGTGCTGTGGAGCTGGGGACGCTGTTCCAGCCACACAGAGACAAGGGAAACACACCTGATCTATGAACAAAAGCACCATGTGAATGCCTACATGTTCACACTAAGATCTCTTGGGAGGGAAGGAAGCCTTAAGCTTCATTTCTTTCACTTGCCCTACTTTTCCTCTGCCCCGGCAACTATTGATTGGGATTTGTTGTTAATGGTTGCTTAAATGTCCCAGGCAGATCTCTGTGACATTAGGGTCCTGCATAAACTCCAGAAAACACTCTGTTTTCTGAAAAGCAGTTCTGTAATCACAAAAACAAGGAGGAAAAAAAACAGGAGAAACTGCCTTGAGGAATGGTTAAAGTTAAAGAAACTGCCCAACAGCTGCTGTTGCAAGAAAAGCACTTTGATGGAAAAAAACCTGGTGGCTGAATCTTAACCAAGACAAACAAAAGGAGGAAACCTTGTGTGAACAAACTGGAGCCTTTGCTGCACCATTCATCAAGGACATTTATCCTGCAACCATAAGACAGTGCAAAGATAGTTTCGGTAAACAGCGACAGCAGAAACATTGGGCCATTTCTGGCTGGTTAAAAGGCCATGTTCACAGCCCCAAAATCAGGATGGCTTGGCTACTGCTACTCACTTAACTGGAGTTAAGGAGTAAGGTCAGCTAATGAAAGACAAGAATAGGGTTAGCTCATGCTGCCTGCTTGGTCTAATCCAAAGTTCCTGCTAGAACCATTCATACCAACAACCTAAGTTAATAATTTAATTACTGGAGAAAAAACAGTCAAACAATTAGAGTTTTAGGCTTCTGTTACACAAATTGGCACTTTATACTGTAGCCACCGGAGTGGCAGTCTGCTGACAGTAACACTGCTGTGCCAGCAACAGCAAAAATGCCCTTACAGCAGTTTTCCAGAGGAAGGCATTTAACATGCACAGGGAGGGGTCAGGATTTCAGTGTACGACCATAACAGATTACAGAGTGTGAAAAACACAACAAGAACAGACAGTTAAAAGAAAATTTCCCAACAAGTTAAAACAAATTTAAACAAAACCCCACTCAACTTGACACTGAAAGGAAATACACTGCATTCAAAGCCTGCAGAGGGGAACATAGAATGCGTTCTACATGCAAGAACAGGCATACGTCATCTTTTTTGAGACCAGGGCTAGGGTGTTCTCAACAGAAAACCAGCTGTTCAAATAATATGAGCAGCAGGACTGGGTTTTACCTACACACCCCCAAAATGCAACACAAAAGTCAACACACAGCTACAGAGCCTAAATGACACTTACTCGTGTACTCTGTTGTCTCCATACAAGTCACTTAACCCAAAGCTGACGTAGTGCCAGTGCTCAGGAACATTCAGTGCTGGATTTCCCAGGTTTCTGTACATGCTAACATAGTCCAGAGGGTCAGGTCCTCCCAACCTGCATAAAAACCAGAAAAATTCTTATGTAAGTTAGTTCACTCAAGAAAAAGGATAAGTGGGTAAGGCTCCCCAGGTGCTAGAAGAGGTTGTACAAAGACCTGGTTTAAAACAAAAATTAGAACATTTAAATTACCTCTTAAAAAAAAAAAAAAAAAAAAAAGGAAAAAGGTTAGGTTAAATCCAGAAAGCTTTGAGCATAGGAAGACAAAGTACATGTGTTCAACATGCTAAAAATGTTTTTAATGTTAAAGCATAAAAACCTCCGGAAAATCATATTAAAGCTTTCACAAAACACAGAGAAAATTGAAAAACTGTACTAGTAAAAGAGCAATGGCTGTATCTGCATTGCAAACTCTTAATTCAGTCCAGAGGCACATACTTCAAAAAAAGTGATGCTATTCCAAGCAGATTTTGAAATTACATTTTCAGGAGACCAATCCATACTTCTGAACAGAAACAAAATAGTTCAAACAGTGGAGGAGAAAAACATTGATTAAGTAAAACTAGCAGCAAAATTTCTAAAAATACGCTACTTGCATTAACCAAGAATAAATAAAAAGTACCACTGTACCCTCTGCATCAGCATTAGAATGGCTTCCTTAAAAGAACATAATTCAGAAGTTAAGGCAGGTTATACTACACAGCAACCACCAAAGTCTGCAGCCACCCTTCCTGCTACAAGGCACAGGGAATTGAGGCTGTGTGCCAGCAGAGAGCAGAACACATCCTCCTGCCACTCGCGTCACCTCTGTCAGAGCAAAGACAGGACAACTCCCTGCTGAAGGAAGGAACATGCTGGACTGTTTTGCTGTTTGCCTTGTCAATCACAAAACACCTACTACAAGCAGTTATGGCACAGCTGAGCAGCTGTTTAACCATTTTGTGCCTACAACACACTGTGTCTTCAAGCAAAACTCCCAGCTGCTCCAAACAAGAAAATCCAAACTCACACGACTCCATTCACTGGAACAAATGATTCTACACATCAATCCCTCTCATGTCTGTTGTCTGTTTAGACCCTGACACAATCATCTGCAGGTTGCAGGGCATGGCTGTGTTTCCTTCACTTGTCCTGAGGGTTTGTATATCATGATATGCAGTCTCCATGGCTGGACAGATGGATCCAGCCCTAGCGACAGTGAGACACTATTTTATATCCTCTGCCCACCTCCTGTTGCCCAAACTTATCAAGTCTGTACAAAACAGCTCATCAGCTTGGTGCATTAAAAGGCCTCTCCACAGGTGTGCTGTGCTGCCTTGATCCTACTGCCACTGGCGAAAAAACAGAGCAGTTGTCTGACATGACTGACTTTATGCAGGACAGCTTCCCCCTCCTAAGTCATATAAGGCCATCGTGGTGACTGAGACCAGGTACAGTTTCTCCAGCAGGTCAGTCAAGGATGCAGCCCAGGATACTGGGGCAGGACAGAGGGGATGAGCAGCTCACCCCCAGTAGTGGCACAGGTGTCCATTGTCAAAGGCTACATCAGAACAAGGCAGCCCCCTCGTATGACAAGTGGATCTTCATGGCATAAAAGGCAGATTGGTGAGCAAACACAGGAAAATGTGTCAGACCCCAGGATGGAGCTGAGTCTGATCTTTAGCAGACACCTGAAAAAACCTGTCTTCAAAATCTAGCAATGGTTTGAAACACTTGGGGGAAAAAAAACAAGTCTCCTCTGACAACCTTTTCTCACCTGTTCCCTTTCACTGGCATCAGGTCACACTGGAGGCTGAGGTCTCTACCAGAAACACCCATCCAGGTGGCTCTGTTCAGAGCACAGCACCTGTGTCCTGGCCAGTGCTCAGCCCCACAGGGATCCAGGATGGAAGCAATTCCAGCCAGGATGGTCACTTACCCTTGAGGAGTGGCAGTGACCAGCAGCAGCCACACACAATTATTACTGGACTGGGAGGACTCTGGAGTGAGAGAGGTTCATGCACTGACCAGCGTGAGAGGTGAGTCAGCGGTCAGAGCAGCTGTGTGGGCTTTGCAGTGAAGGGAACACTGCTAAGCAACCAGCATCTTCTACATAAAGAAAACCTGCTTCCAAACTGGGCTTAGTACCACTTTAAAAGTCAAACAATCAATGCTGGAACACGGCTGACACAGGCACTCTGACACTGACAACACACAAGAGAAACCTCTACACTGCCCTTTTCGGGACAGGAACTATTCCATGGGTACACGCTTTTCCCTAGGGCTACTCAAACATACTTGTCAGGTCTGATGCAGATGGCAAGTCCTGCCTAGGACAGCCCCAGGCAAGGCAGACATCTCTCTCCCTCACTCCTGCCAGCAATCCTGTCTCCAAAGGCCAAACTTCTCAGGAGACCTACAGCACCACACCACCAAGAGGTGGCCACAGCAATTGGCACCAGGTGGCCTGGTGGAGCAGAGCTCAGTCCTGCCCAGAGTTCACTACCCACTGGTTCATATGTTGCTTAATGATCCAGTCACACCATCTTTACTCGCTGAGAAATGGAGTATGCTTGGAAGAGATGCAGACTAAAAGCCTGCAGCAGTGACTAATTAAATATGTGTTGAAAAACACATATCCAAGCCATACACCTATCCCAAAACCACCGCAACTACACAAGCATCCAGCACGAGCTTTAAGCCAGCTACCTGCAGCACACAGCCACGGCAGTAACAGTAACACAGCCACGGCAATAACGCTCCCCAAAGGTTAGTCAGCACAGATATTCATCCAGTTTCGGTGGCAGGTTTCACCGCTCTGTGTCGGCGCTGCTGTGGTGCATCCTGCTCCCGCCCACGGCGGCCGCGGCAGGGCTCGACCTTGTATCACAATCTACATATCAGTACATGCACTCACACAAAGAGCTGGAAGCGTTGGAGGATTTTATTAGGAAGAGCCCAACTTCAAAGCCAGAGGTACAGTACAAATTTGTTACATTCTCTATTCATGGAGCTCATTCAGGAGCAGGAAGGGTTGCCTCAGGGGAAACCCTGTAAAATTTGCATCTGCACCAAGAGTCTTCTTTTGACTGATGTTAAGAGCGCTCTGAAGTTTGTGTGGAAGGAGAAACGCGAAAGAAGAGCGGAAAGAGACCCACAATGGAAAGACATTGGAAAACTCCTAATTCATTCACCCTGAAAAGTCCTTAGTCTATTGTCTGTAGTCACTTCCCAGCAGCTGCCAATAAGATTGCTCTTCACAGCTACCTTCTGACAACCCTTCAGAAGTAGTCTGTGATTCCCAAAAGGCTGCAGACCACAGCTTACTGCACAGGTTTTTGAGAATATGGCCTAAATTTAAGACAGGTGATAAAAACCCAGTAGTCAAGCCCAAATTATGCTTATTTCAAAACCTATCACAAAAAAACTAATTTTATTTTTTCACCAGCAGTTCCATGCAACAAGATATTTCAATTTGAGATATTCTACTATATTTTATAATAAAAGTGGATACCAGATACCAATATCCAACTCCATCTTGCTGAATGGCCTTCACAAAAACAGACAGAAACTCTTAGTTCTGATTGGATCCCACGCTCTCTCCCAAGATATGCAAATAGCATTTTAAAAGACTAGTTCCATTAAATAATCCACATGGTTAAATCCCTTTATGCAACAGGCATGGAGTTCTGCAGATTGTCCAACGTTACAGACTTAGGATCTGCTCTGATCTGCAAACCAAAGACTACAACTTCAGCTCCCTGAACAAAAAAAACCAAATTGCTGTTAACCGTAGAGAAACTGATACATATAATTACAAGCTGATTAGTGTTACAATATTTCTCCTAAGGCAGGCAACTTCATTCAGCCATTTCCTCTTCTAATCTAAACCAGCTAATAGCTGGCAGCCCAGGCAGAGTAGGACAAATTAGCAGAGAGTGTTGTGGCAGGAGTCGTTCTACCAGACTTAACAAAACCAAGCTCCAAGTTTCACCCAACAACAGGAGAAAAAGAACTTGTGGCATCCATGGAGGCTGTACCTCACACAAGCATTTCCTGCACAGGACAGCAGTAGGAAGATCACCTCTACAACAGAAGCTCTCACTGCTGGCCGAGCTAACAGCCAGAGGAACCCCAAAGTGGAAAAGAGCAGGATAAACAGGCCTTCACATTACTTCTTGCAACCTGCCATCATTGCCATCAGCAATTCTTTCAGTGTTTGAGCTCCAGCTGCAGCGAAACCCTAGTCAATCCCTTAAGCAAAAAGCTTTCTTCCCAAAAAAGGGTCTTTGCCATTCTTCACTACAGACCTAAATTCCCCTCAACCTCCACAAATCTTATGCCAATATAGTCAGTATGCTTTAAGCTGTTGGTAGAAAAGAAGTGCTAATGTGACTGGAAACGCTTCATGAGTATCCAAGATTACACACAGGCGTAAAAAAAAGACTGATCAGACCACCACCAAAGTACTGATATGCACACATGACCAAGAAACGATTTACATTTTGAGGTCTCAGATTTGCAACATCTCATCTCAGCCCACTGTGTCATTTTAATACAATACGCCCCTAGGCAATAAGGGCTAACAGACAAACTTCTTGCTAGAATCACTTAAAAACAACACTTCTGTGGACAACAACAGCAGTAGCTTTGTCCGTCAGAGCAGCACACAGGGAGGATGTTATTTTGCTGTTGCTCAGGACTAATTAGATAAAGACATACAGCTTGAAATGAGCAGTAAATAAAGAAGTTGAGCATTTATTAGTTTTTTTCAAGTGCTGAGATAGGGACTGGCCAATGTCACATAAAGCAAACATTCAGGGGTGAATTGATCATGTTCCTTAGCCCCAGAAGAGGGGGCTGAGCAGCTAAGCGATAGCAAAAAGCAAAAGGAACTCTTCTTCACACGGGATTAGATGCTAGACACTTATCTTGATAGCTAAACATCCAAGAACTTCCTTCATGCCACTCTCCCACATAAACAACTGCTGTTCCCGGTGTCAGACACTGTGTCAGCAGAGACACTGAACAGCAGATCCACAGTCTGTGATAACACACGGCTACGTAAGGCCAAGAGGAGCTGGCACTGCCCGTGGGCTTTACGGGAACACCCGGCATGTGTCCGGCCCGCAGGCTGCCACAGCGGGCTCACTCCGCCACACTCCAGCCCCAGCTCCCGGCCAGAAGACCAGGGGGAAACTCCAGAGCCTCACCTTCTGTGGGAACACCTCCACTGAGTAGCACGCTCTCCCTTTTCATAAGATCTGCCCCAGCTGGGGCTTTGGTCAGCAACCCCTCACTCAGGGGTCCTCCAAGTCACCCCAGAAACCCCAGTGCACCTTCCTGTCTTCAGTGCACACCTCTCCAGACCCTTCTCCTATTGCCAGCACATTCTCCCCAGGAGCCCCTTCCAAACACACGCCCTAGGCAACCAACCGCACTCCCAATCCCTCCATCCCCAGACCCGCTGCCTGTACCCAAAACTCTGGCATCTCACCCCTAGAACAGGAGGCAGCCCCCAGTCCCTCTCCCCTTGCTGCAACCCTCCCCAGCCGCTCAGCGCACCCCGTGCAGCGTCCCCAGCCCCAGCGCTTCTCCCGAACCTCTCCCACTCCCACTACTCCTCCCAAACCCTCTCCTATCCCACACAAGGCGCCGGCCCCACGGCTCCCCCCAGCTCCACGCAAGACCCCGGCCCCATCCAGGCCGCCTCACCAGTACTTGAGGATGGCGGTGACCTGGAGCGGGTTGGGCTGGTCGGGATAGAGGCGGCGGCACTCGCCGTAGATACCGTGCAGCCCCGGCGGGAACAGCGACGGGAAGGACCCAGACCCGGACCCCGAGCCGGACCCCGGCCCGCCCGCGGAGGGCCCCCCGCCCGGCCGCACGCCCTCCATGTCCCGGAGGCGGCTGGTCCCGGCCCGTCCCAGGTGGTGCCGAACCCGCTCCGCTCCCGCCAGGCGCTCCCGGCCCGGCCCGGCCCGGCCCAAGCGGCTGCGTGGGGCCGCGGCAGGAGGGGCGGGGCCTACTGCCGGGCGGCGTGATTGACAGACCATCTCCACCAATGGCGGCGCCGCGCGGGGCTCCGCGAGGAGAAGGTGGGGCCCCGCTGCAAGGGCGGCGTGAGTGACAGCACAGCCTGACCAATGGAAGCCCGCGGCCCGGAGGGCGGCCGCGCCTCTGCCCCCGCCCCTCGCTGCGCTGCGGGCGCGCCCCCTAGCGGCGGCGAGGGGTGGGGCGATGGCCGCGCGAGGCGGTGGCGGGAACGCGGAGCGGGGCCGGGGCCGCGGGCGGGCCCGGGGACACCGCGGCGGGCCCGCTCTGCCTCTACACCCCCGCAGCGCCCGAGGCACCTGCACTCCCCCCTGTGTCGGCAGCGCCCTGGCAGGCAGCTGGAAGCTGCCGACGGGTGAAGTTTGGCGGCTCGGACCGCGGGTTGTGACTTGCGCGCGAAGCACGCCGAGGATCTGGCTCGTTGCTGAGCCGCAGCTGTGCAGAGCCAGGTGTCTTCATGTGCGTGGGGTGTGCACAACAGTCCTACACGGCCCTGCTAGAGCAGGGTCCTGCTTGTTCATCAGCAAATAGGGAAAAAAATGAGCTATGGAGTGTTAGTCGGCAAATGGAAAAAAATGAGCTGTAAAGTGCTCAGCGGAGAGGGTGGACGCACATGCATTTCTTAGTTAGGTGAGAGTTTATTCTAAAAACGTTGACGACTCCATTTGGCAGAGCACACATGGTCAAGAAGCTGACAGCCTCTCGGCCAAGTGACAATCCCCTGATAAAGGAGGTGAGCAGTTGGTGTCCTCACTTCCCACAGTGAAAAATATTTCACTTGTCCCGTTACCATGATACTACTTTTTCTGACGTCTGCCCGAGTAGTCAGCTACAGTCAGCTGAGAAGGTGAATGTAACAGAGTATGTATGAAAGGCTGTGCTGGCTCCATACACCGATAATGAGAGTCTCCTGGCATTCACTGAAGTGATACAACACTGGCCTTCATTTAAACCCCTCAATCCTGTACAAAAACTACCTCTCTTAGACTAGGTGAATGGGGAAGGTTGCTGAAGGTAAACATTTGGGATGAAACTTATCTACTGGGGCTAAAGGCAGGAACTACAGGAGAAAAGTCCATGTCTGCAGGAGAGACGTGGGACAAGAGAGATAAGTCAAGCCTTCAGGTGTGCTCAGTGGCATGGAAATCCCTTTTACTTAATTTCAAGACCCAGAGTTTCAGTCATTGATTATTCCAAGTGCTTTTAGAATACTTAGTCAGTGGAAAATGTGTTTATTGTTCGATACCGATATGTTATTGATGTGCATTCTTTATACTGACACCTCTTTTGTGGTTCTTGTGCCTCAAAAATGGAGAGAAACTGGTATTTCATGGGAGGAACAGGTGTGTTATGATCAGTAGTTCGTAAGGATGATCACATGAAATTATGGGACAATAAAACACTTTCCTTAGCCATAGATCCCCACTACAGAAGTTGATGGGATCACTTTTTCTCCTTTCCTATTAGAAAAAATTAGGCGTGAGGAATCTATTAAGCGTAAGCCAGCCAGTTGCGATGCAGCGTTTTTGGTGGAAATACCCAGCTATCTCCCGGACCGCAACATCCCCCGCTTTCTCGGCCGTGGATGTGTCCGCAGGATTCCCTTTTCCGCACTCCGCCTCCCAGCACGCCCCGCTCCCACGCCGGCCTACACTTCCCAGCATGCCCCGCCCCCGGCCTACAGCTCCCGGCATGCCCCGCTCCAGGGGCGCCTCCCCGCTTGACTCTGCGCAGCGTCGGACTACAGCTCCCGGCAGGCGCCGCGGCGGCAGGAATACATCACCCAGGCGGCGCCGCGTCGCCTCTCCGCGCATGCGCCGCCGAGGGCTGGGCTGTTGCTCCCTCACGGGCGGCTGCGGCGGGTCCTCGCCATGGAGTCCTACGATGTGATAGCGAACCAGCCCGTCGTGATAGACAACGTGAGTGCGGGCGGCCGCGCGTCCCGGGAGCGGGGAGGGCCCGCAATCCCTTTGTCATCGGGGCGGCCGCGCCCCGCCCGCCGCCGCCCCCCCACCTCGGCCGGCTCGGCCGCCGCCTCCGGCCCTCTCACGGCGCCATACGGCGTCCTCGGGGGGCGGGGCCGCTGCTCCTCGGCGAGTCGCGATTGGCTGGGGCGGCTGGCAGTCACCCGCGGCGGGGCCGCTGCCCCGCGCTGGGGGGCGCAGCCCTCGCCGCCGCCGAGTTGCCGCTGGTTGGGAGGGGCGGCGCGCCCCCATTGGCTGAGACAGCTGTCAGTCAGCCGGACAGCCCGCTGCTACCTGCCGAAGCGGGGCGGGACTGTCGGCAGAGCACCTGCGCTCATTGGCAGTTGGCGCTGTCAGTCAGGCGGGGCTTCCCCGGCCCCGCCCCACCCCTCTTTGTGCCGGGGGGACAATGGGGGTGCTGGGCCAGGCCATGGCCACGCTCCCAGCGAGCTGCGGGGCAGGCCTTGGCCAGAGTTCCAGCGTGCTCCTGGCAGGCCGTGGTTGGACCCCCAGCGAGCTCTGGGGGTGCTGGCGCCTCCCTAGGCCCATGCAGGACATGGAGCCCTCCAGCCAGGCACCCCTCGCAGGCCCAGCGAGAGGGAAGCTTTGACCTCTTGTACTGCCCCTCCCAAGTGCATCCAGCACAGTGGTCACAACAAGGCAGTGCCGTTCCCAAGGCATGGATTCCCATGCCTTGGAAAGCCACTGCTGACGGATCTGTGCCCAGGGTTGCATCAGCATAGTGTTGCAGATGGCTGCTCCAGTGTGCTGATGCTGCTCATTAGCACAAAGCAGACCTTCAGTCTGTGTGTGAATTGCTCTGAGGGAGATGAATGGCAGTGATTCCCTGCCTCTTTGAGGTATTTCTGGGTCCAGTTCTGGTTTGCCCCATCCATGCTGCCCTCCCAGGAGGAAGGACCATCCAGGAAGGAATGGGAGGGCGTGTATTGGACAGAGCCTCCTTCAGTGTACTGAGTCACAAACCCGTGCTCCTCCCTTCTGACCTCTATCGCCAGTGATTGAGATTCTGTTCTTTTGAAGGGTCAGTACTGTGCTCCATTCTTCTTCCACATGCTTAATTTCTCCTGATTTTTTTTTTTTTTTTTGCCATATGAAGCAGGTTTTCTGGCCTGGCTCTTCTCGACCTATTGCATTAGCTTTACATAAAGTGAATGATTGTAGGTCTTCTCAGATGAAGGTGGTTATTCTTCTGACTTTTTCTTTATTACGGATCCCAAATTCCTCTCTACAGTTCCTCTGATACAGTTCTGGCTTTGTTTATTTCCCTTGAATCTTACAGCAGAGGGATTTGGGTTAGGCATTGAAGGAAAGATTTAATAGGAAATGAGAGTAAGCAGTAAAATTGAATGTGTTGAGAAAAACATGTATCTTCTCTACTGAAGGTGTTAAAAATGCACTAGGCTGATTGTTTTTAGGAATGCTTGTATCAGCACTGATCCTGCTGCGTTGTCGAGTGATTAGCTAAACATTAAAGTTATCTCTAGATGTTGTGGCTCTGTGAGGATCACTTTGTTGAGCTATTAACGTAGTAGCAGCCTATATTTAATTTCAGCGTGTCCTTTTGTTATTTAGTGCCGTGATTGCTGCCCCTGCCTCAGACCTGAAGAAGGGTTTATGTGGCAGCAGCTGATTCTCTGTCTTTTTTCATTTTATCAGCTGGTCTTACCAAAGCTGATTCTTGTTCTTGCTTCTCCGATAAACGAGCTTGTCCCCTTCCCCTCCCTGTACAAGAAGTAGAACGGAGCAGTTGTTGTAGCATCTGCCTGGAACGCTGGCAGGCTGTGGGCCAAGGAGACTCGTGGTGACACTGCATTTTTGCTACTCTTTGGAGTTCAGGCAGGATGGGAAGTGGAGCTGCACAGAGGAGGTGCCTCTCTTCCCACTGCTGTTCTGTTACTGCTTTTCTGCAAGAACTGCAGGCACCTTTTGAAGGCTGAATGTTATCCTGTCTCACATGTGCCTGTGTGTGGGAAGGGGGAAGTGAGATACTGAGCTGGTGAGAGCCAGACCCCTCCAGTCCCAGCCCTGCACTGAAATCTCAGTGTGTTCCAAAAGGACATGAAGTTCTGTAGCTAAAAAATTAACAGAGAGGTTTTTTTCTCTTACCACACGTTGCTCTTAGCTGTATGTTTTCAGCAGGGAGAGCTTTGTAATGTACAGTGGGAGGTTGGAGCTGTACCTCAGCACAACTTTATACTCTCCATTGCCTAATTTTTAAGAGCTGTATTCCCATCTGCAGTCCAGCAAGCTCTCTCTGAATGGTCTGGGAGCCCTGCTGAAATAAGGCACATGTCAGTAGTCCACCTGTGGCCTAAGTCAGTGCAAATTCCTTGACCTCCATGGAACATGGAATTATCTCGTTTGCCTTGTAGTCTAAGTGGTGGTATTTAATGCAGCTGAGCTGTCAGCAAGGGCTGTTGTGTCTTTGGTTTGTTCTTGATCTTCTAAATTCTGTATCAAATAGAACAGTTTTACAACAACATGAAATGTGCACTCTCCATAGAAAGTGCCACACGGAAGATTGATTGGTGATTTCCATTTAAATTTGAGTCCTAAATGCATCAAGATTAATGAATCCATAACCAACTGGCTACAGAGCTAGTAGATGAGGTATGCTAAGGGATGAGCTCAGTTCCTTCAAGACACTCACAATAATTTTTAATGAATTTATCTTCCTTGACCTTTACATTTTACATGTAGTTTTTCTTCTTTTATTCTTTTGTTCAGATTAAAATTTAAAAAGAAATAAAATAAACTGCTGCCAGATAAAATGGAATGAAAACCCAGTCAGGATAGTTACTGGTGGAAGAATATAAATTTTTCAATTTTTTTAGTTTTAATCAATCAGAGTTTGTAACAGAAGAGAAGATGCATGTATTTTTGCTTACTTGAAACAAAGATTGAAAAAACAGGTCTTTAAACCTTCTGAATCAGAGTTATTTCAAAATGTAAACATTTTCCTCTCATTGCATAGG